CGTTTATATTACCTCACATGAAATACGAATTATGATTGGTTTAAGAGCGAGCAGTTTTCAGTACAGCCAAAATTACAACTTGGTCACGAATTTTATTAAACCAGCTACGAAATCAATCGGAACACATCTTACGTAACTTGTTTATCTCACGTATCGCTGAGTTTCTGAAATGTTTATCCGAATGCATTTGGTAAAGGAAAAGAACCCCGTTTTAAACTCATGTAACCTTCACAAATAAATGTCATAAGATCTATTTGTAGTTAAAAGATATGTCGTGAAGTTGTCTGGGTACATATTCCCACATGTTGGGTACTTCTCACCATACAAATAATGACGTACTAAAGAAGGTACGCAGTTTGTTACATTTATACCTTTTGAGATCGATTGACAACTTTCACTGTCTAAAATTACTTTTGCGCAGTTATAACCTTGTAAATATATATTTTCTGCATTTTCGGCTTTCGGCTTTATTTCCCAAAGCAGCCATTGTGTCACAAGTTAGGAGTGTTGCAAGAAACCAAACTTACGTACTTAAGCTGTGTGAGGGCAGGAGCTACCGGACACGCCTACGTTTTTCGCGAACACCTGGTGTCATCCCTAATTTTAATTGATCTATTCATACAATTGTCATTACTGTTTTCTTTTCTTCAGTTTGTATAGTTACGCCCCCGCCGTGTAAAATCGCGGGGTCACCAGAAATGGGTTTCACACATCCATATTGGGAGTCGAACACAGTATTCATCGTGACGAGTGAACACTTTAACCACTGGGCTAACCAACAATTCTCCTACAACCAACAAAATCTGCTACTGTATACTGATGTTCTCTTGCGTTGAAGATATTTACGCCTAAACTGCTTTGTATATATTCGTTTAATAAAAAAGGTAAAGATCCGAAATATAATGTTATATGAACGGCGTCTGTTTATAAACATAAACCCCAGGAAATAACCATTTTCCAAAGTTTCTTATTATGTTTCAATGGCAGAGATAAGGTGCGTAATACATCATGAAAATTTGGCAGATTCATTCCATGTAGCATGCAACGAGGAAATCAATTCCTTCTACAACACACCGCCGAGACCTGAGAACTGGCCCCGTCCACCAGAGCCAGTTGACATTGTATTTCCTTTCTGTGGCACTTGAAACAGATTACATAGCAATGTACTAGGGGCCTACATTCTAAGACATTAACAGTCTCGAGTATGAAGTCGATGGTGTCAAATTACGAAGACGTTGTCAACTTGGTACAGCTGTTCTGACACCGCGGGGAATCCTTGTCCCTATCGACCTGTGACTTAATGGACCGGGTGGTCTGTTCGGTGAAGTGGTTGAAGGTGTACCAGCGTACCCCAGCAGCGTGGGTTGGTGCTCAGAATATCGATCACTGGATTATCTGGTCTAGACCGCTGTTGTAGTGAGGCGTCGGGCGGCGTTAAACAACAATTGTAGCGGTGATATCATTCAAAACTTTTCGAAGTCAAGTGATTGAATTCGAACCACAGACGCTCTAATCCGGGGTCTGACGCCCTGGCCTTGTCTGAGAGGTCAGGTCAGGTCAGGTCAGGTCTGTGTAATGACTTCACTTCCTGATGTCACAGAGGGGCGTTGTATGCATTGGGACTTAGAGACAAAAGAAACTGTATCTCAGTTATAACTGTCAGTTGATTTTATCATAATTTCATATTTTTAATTTAAAACATCTGAAACCATATCAACAATATCCAAGGAATTGAATATACTGACGTGTCACAAAGAATAATTCTACATGCTCTAATTTCAAAAACAAAATTTGTTTTAAAACGTTTTAAGAAATTACATGCCGGCTGCTGACGTATATATCAGTCACATTATCTTTGAAAATTTATAGATTTACTGTATTCGGAACCAATTTTTATTTGAAACATTATAGGGTACATGTGAGTGTAAATTCATTTCGTACCCCAGTCTTTAATGAACCAATTTCAATGAAATGGTTTCCTGGATCGGGGGTGAGACGTTCAGGTTGACATGGTTGACAGTTGGAAAACAGTTATCAGTGTCCGGGTAGATGTTTGTTTGTTTGTTTGTTTAACGCCGCACTCAGCAATATGCCAGCTAAATAAATCGAGTCTGGACCAGACAATCCAGTGATCATCATCATGAGCATCGATCTGCGTAATTGGAAGATTGGTTGATTTTGTTCCATGCTTTTGTTTTTGCAGTTTGCGAACTTGGCCTGTTTGAATGGAGCTGGAAAGTGTGAGGAGCTTGAGTTTTGGGCTATGCGTATTGTCAATATGGGCGTCGCTGTCAACCCGATAGTGTACGGAGTTATGAAGAGGACGTACCGAAGAGGTTACATCTACCTACTGCACATGACAATACACTATATGACATGCACGCTCATCCCCAAGCCCAAATGTAAGTACACCGTACCTCAGAAAGAGTTAGTGAGTGAAACGCATTTATTCCACATCGGCAATTTTGTAACAGTGCTTTGACGCCGCACGATTCAGTATTCAGCAATTTTCCATATGGCGGCGGTCAGTAAATAATCCGGTTAACATAGGACCTATAAGTCTCACGAGGCGCTACTTCCGATACTACTTCCCGGCTCCCTTTGCGCGCGCCCACTTGCAATATGCGAGACGTAGCCCAGCTTATTTCCGGTACCAGATTTCTGGTGCCAAGCGTATATTCGAGACCCAGTGTTCTGGTTCCAAATATGACTTTACTAGACCGGACCAAGTGTAGAACCATCCTTGGCTAGCACAGCTGTTGTTGGCTAATTTAGGGATGGTTAGATTGGACATTTGTTATTCCTGAAAGGATTATCGGTTCCTTACTGTCAACTGACAACCATGAGACCATTCGAAAAGATATGAAACGTTGTTTGTCACCGTAAGAACTAAGGCCTCGCGAAATGCCGTGACCAACTTATGTAAGCGAGCCTGACCACCCAATCCCGTTACTCGTTTCTGACGACAAGCAAGCCTGGTTCCCTGGGTCTGTTGCGCCTGCGCTAACGCTCCAACAGTGCCTGGTTCCCTGGGTCTGTTGCGCCTGCGCTAACGCTAACTGTCGGAGCGTTAGCGCAGGCGCAACAGACCCAGGGAACCAGGCTGACGACAAGCATGGTTTGCTGAAGACAAATTCAGACCCGGATCTTCACAGGTGTGATGAAGTAGGACGACGGTGTGTTAACGGTGTGTGAGTGAGTTTAGTTTTACGCCGCTTTTAGCAATATTCCCGCAATATCACGGCGGCGGACACTGGTGTCCCCCGCCGTGATATTGCGGGAATATTAAAATCGGCTTAAAATCCTACTCACTCACTCACATGCCCATATTCGATTATTTTCAAACCGCCGCCTAAGAACTGAACTATTGCTACGTGTGACGTTAAACTACCAATAATTTCTACAATTTGCACGTGGACCAAACACAAATAAGAACCCAAAACATCGCGTGTTGCAAATCCCATCACGTGTGATTGTTTCCCAGTAGAAATAGTTACGTAGTTACAATAAATTGGCAAAGTTAACGTATCCATATTAAGACTGGTTGTCAATTACTGATGTCAAAATATGGTGGCGTGCGTGCAACTGTTATGTACAACTGTTATGTACTAGCAGAACACGTGTTCGCCTAGCACGTGCTTGTACACTAATCTGTCAATCAAAGCCCTGGTATTTAATTGCAGTGGAACAGCACACGATCAATTACTGCCAGTCAATGACAAATTGCCTTTCGAGAGTAAAGTAAACAGTCAACCTCAGTGTCTGTGTAATCGTATATTTAGCACAGCGACACTGTTGAAAAACCGCTGGTAACATCTTCAGTAAAGGAGAGGCATTTGTTATCGCGAATTCTGTAAAAATAATGGTCTTGTCTATCATGACGTTGTTTAAACCGATTGAGGAGGATTTCGTTTTGGCTTAGAGTACATTTGACGTTGAAGAAACACGTGACCTTACAAGATCACGCCTCCTGGTGACCGATGCAGGGACAAGGTCAAGGTCAAGGGGACCACTCCGAACTTCTTCTGACACATTCTGAACGTGGAGGTTACGGAAAGGGGCGAGTGGTGACGAATGATTATGAACTGCATGGCATGTGCAGTAAGTTGGAAATTTGAGTTGAAAAAGTCTTTAAAAATATAAATAGGAAGGGACACATTTAGATACGGGCATTTCTGGAGAAGCGAAAGAAAATGTACAAATCTAAGGAGGAGTGAGTGAATTTAGTTTTACGCTGCTTTTTGCAATATTCCAGCAATATCACGGATGGGGACACCAGAAGTGGGCTTCACACATTGTGGGGAATTGAACCAGGGTCTTAGGTAAGACCCGCGAACGCTTTAACTACTATGCTAACCCACCGCCCAATCTAAGAAGGAGGCAAAGGATGTGTAAATGATTCGCGGGCAATTTGGGTTTTATTGTCATTGTATGTTTGTGGGGGCGGTGGGGTAGCCTAATGGTTAAAGCGTTGGCTCGTCACGCCGAAGACCCGGGTTCGAATCCCCACATGGGCACAATGTGTGAAGCCCATTTCTGGTGTCCCCCCGCCGTGATATTGCTGGAATATTGCTAAAAGCGGCGTAAAACTAAACTCAGTCAGTCAGTATGTTTGTGAATACATTATTTATATTCTGACCGCCTCCGTGGTGTAGTGGTTAGAGCGTCCGCCCGAGAGCGGAAGGTCGCGGGTTCGATCCCCGACCGCGTCATACCAAAAGACGTTAAAATATGGCGCTCGACATTAATTGGTACAACAAGGACTGGTCGGCTCGGAGTCAGTATAATGTGTCTGAGTTGGGTATTCATGCTTCACTGCGGCATGTTATCTCAGTGGGCTAGCACTATAAAACCAGCTTCAGTCTGGGCTAGTACAAGCAGCCTCACATACACATACACACGCATGCACGTCGTCATGTGGGCGAAATATTCCCAAGCACGACGTTAAACCAAATTTCACCTCACATTTATATTCTTTTTCGATATCAATCTTTATTCAGAACTGAAGGCCACAGGCCCATAGTACAGGTATATACAAAGTTCAAAAGCAGAGTGGGTTTCTCTTCATTATCGCATGGTATATGAACAAAGCAATATTTTCAATCAAAATACGATTAGAAGTTGACAACAGTTGGATGAATTTATGTTTTGACGGTTGTTTCGTAAAGTAACTGGGTATATATTTGCTTCTAATGTTTCTATAATAATCACAAATTAGCAGAACATGGTATTCATCTTCCAAGACATTCATTTTACAGTATCTGCACACAGTAGATTTCTTATGAAATTTTCCCTTATAACAACTTAAATCATAATAAACGGAACGAAACTGTGATAAGGCTAGTCTTACTTTCTTGATACTGATACAACGTACATATGGTTCACACAAGAAGTCTTCTTTTAACAGGGAATAAGTAAATGTACAGGGACTATTTTGGAGTTTTGCATGCCGCTCCTGTATAAAGCAATCTTTGCCTCTTCTTACAAGTAAATTTAAGAATTGGTGCTTATTTCCAACTCCCTGCCATATCCACGCATAACCTAGTCCAAATCTAAATAAAACTGTTTTTACATGTGTAGCCCAATTAAACCTATTACGCTCAGCGCTTGCGTTTAAATCTAGATTACATAACATTTTGTAAGCTTTTAATGGGTAGCGTGAAGAGGGCATGGAGAGGAGCTTTAGCCAGTAAGCAATACAGCGTTTTAGAGTGTACACATGAATAGGATATCTACCAGTTTCTCCAAGGACAATTGTATTTGGTGTAGACATTCGCACACCAAGGAATCGTTTACATGCATAAAGCAATACCCTTTCCAGACAATCATGTTTGTGAAAGCCCCATAATTCTGACCCATACAATAATATGGGTAGTATCTTACAGTCGAATATTTTGAAATAGACATCATATGACAAGTCTTTAAAGCTACAAAGGCATTTTGTAATAGACACTAAAGCTTTCTTTGCCTTAAGTGAAATGTTTTTGGCAGAGAGGGACCAATTTAGAGTTCTATTAAATGATACTCCAAGGTACTGGTACGATGTAACAACTTCAAGCATAGCTGATTTATATGTCCATTTTTCTGATTTTGATAGTTTAGGTCCTTTTTTAAAAATCATAATTTTAGTTTTATCAAGGTTAACATTTAAGGACCATTTATTACAGTAGGTTTCTAAAGCATTAATTTGCCTCTGTAGACCAATTACTGACTCTGAGAAAAACACCACATCATCGGCAAACATCAAAATAAATATTTCAATAAGATCTGGATATAATTGGACGCCAGTGGAACATGAATGGTTAATCTCAGACACTAGATCGTTGATAAAAAAACGAAAATAGGAAAGGGCTTAGGACACAACCTTGCCTAACACCAACAGGACAGTCAAATACGTCTGTAAGAACATTGTTATTTGTGCGAACACAGGCTTTAACATTTTCATAAATACTTTTTAATGTTTTATCCATTTTTGAATGGAGACCGTGTTTATTAAAGACATACCATAATTTGTGTCTCTGTACTGAATCAAATGCCTTGGAAAAATCCACAAAACATGCATACAGTTTGCCACCTTTCTTAGAAACATATTTACAAATTACTGATTGGAGAACAAATATATTATCTGTGGTAGTATAGCCTGCTCTAAAACCTGCTTGTTCTTCATTTATCATATCCAAACTGTCTGACCAGAATACCAGGCGCTTATTTAAAATGTTTGTATAAATTTTACCAAAAATACTTAAAAGGGAAATGGCGCGATAATTTTCCGGATTGTTTATATCGCCTTTTTTTATGTATTGGCACAATTATTGCTTTTGCCCATTTTATAGGGAATGATCCATTATCAAACAATGTGTTAAATATGATTTCTAGGTAAGGTATAATGATATGACAAGACGACTTAAAGAACTCGCAAATTACGAGGTCTTCCCTAGCAGTTTTATTATATTTAAGTTTGTTAATACTTGACTGGATTTCCTCCCGGCTAATGGGTGCACTGAATATATCGTTAGTTATGTCATGTGCCTGGCTTTCAGGTATAAATATGCTGTCACCATCATCTGCGAAGTCACTGGGAGTTACACTGGAGTCCCAATCAAAGAGATTCTTAAAGTAGTCGTGCCATGAATTTACTGTGATGTTATTTTCATTTTTTTGCGAACATGAGATGTACTTTAGCTTTCGCCAAAATAATTGGGGATTGGTAATTGAGTCTGAAAGCTCATTCATATTTCTGTTTTCAAATTTACGCTTCGCATCTCTACACGCAGTTTTGTAGATATTTCTTGACGAAATATATAAATCCCGAGAAAGCGTGTCCTTATGCTTTCTAAATCTATTAAGGTACACTAAACATTTGTATACCAGGCTCACAATCAAGGTAATGACATCGCTGATGTTTAAGTCCTTGACATGTGTTGTTAAACCAATCTGGGTTTCGTTTGGACGATGTAATTGTCCGCTTCATGCACTCAAATCATCGCAATCATCCGATATGTACTCAGTTATCATTGCTAAAATCTGCTTTGTTGGCCAGTTCTCGCATTTAAATCACCCACCAGAATGACATCACTGTACGCAACATTCGCAGAGTAATCGCAATAGTCATTGAATAGAATATCGATACCATTATTGGAATAGATGCGTAGAGAATACCAGTTTGATCTTTCTGGTTGTATGTAAGCAAGTATGAACATTCTATCGTTTACAGTGGAAAACATACTTTTGTCAAACAGGGCAAATATCGCATTTACTCCTTTATGAATGTGTTTAACATATGGCTGGTAACATTCTTTGACACAAAGCAGGATACCTCCAGATAATCTGCCTGACTCTGACAGTCGTACACCTGGGATATGGTAACACTTGTATAAAGGAAACGATGACACTATAGTACTGAGATCACAATCAGCAACCCATGTCTCTGTTAAATGAATAATGCCAAATCCTTTAAGAAAGTTCATAAAGTCATGGTCATGTAATTTATTGAACAGTCCAGATACGTTCCATGTTATGAATGAAACGTCACTACCTGAATCAGTCAATTTCTCTGACAGATCCTCATGGGTATGGGTTGCTTTGACTTGGGCCGAGCCGCACCCCTATCTGTACTCCCGATCCTTTCTCGTACGCCTCTTAGGATCAGCCTGTATGGCGCTGGATCTGGGTGCTTTGCGTCTAGCCTCTTGGGGTCCGTCGATCTCGTGGCTGCTAGAGGCACTGGCATTGGCTACGACAATAAGTTTACCGTTTTTGTAATATCCTTTCTTTCCCGTATCTCATAGCTCCTTTAGTTTCTATCTCTGTTTAATGGTTAGATCGTTTGCTATACCAATTTTACTTTCCTTTAGTTGATTTCTACTATATTAACCTATAACCTATAACCTTATTTATCTATTTTAAACGTATAAAAGTTCATGTTTAGTAGCCTATGAAGATCCGGGTTAGAATTGGTCTTCAGTAACCCATGCTTGTCGTAAGAGGTGACTAACGAAATTGGGTGGTCAGGCTCGCTAACATGGTTGACACATGTCATCGGTTCCCAATTGCGTAGATCGATCATGTCACTGGATAATCTGGTCGACTCGATGATTTACAAACCTGATCAGCCACATAGAATGCATATTGTAACATGTTGTCTAGTGTGAGTGCGTTTGAGAGTTTGTGGCTGCTTCTGGGTCAAGTCAAAACATTGATAATACAACAGTCTCGTTTCCTGCTGGCTGGGTTCTGTCCTATTGCGCAACTTAGTTAAATAACCAGTCCAGAATTTTGGGACCAATTCTTTCAAATGGATGCATAAATATTAATCAGTATTATTTGATACATCTAAGCACTTGTATATTGCAACACTACGCTCCTTCTAATCCTTGCAAACACGTCGTGCAGCATGCTCTGTCGTACAACGAGCTCCGACAAACGGAAATCTGGAAATCGTGGAAATCTCAAAACGAGGCTCTGCCGCTAGAAACGTTTGGCGGTCTGGTACGGACTTGATATTATATCAATCACACTGTGCGTTATAAAACTACTTTAAATCAGCACACAAAACACATATCAGGTGTAACCAGTCAGCCAGATGACTTGTGAATCATTTTACGATCTCATCAAAGAGGGGCAGTCTGTGACGTCTTAGTTAAGGTCATGCTGCCTACACCTCGCCATAAAATATAGAAATACGATGTTATTAAAGTTTGAAATTAAAATTCAGTGTAACCATAGTTGTTTGCGGTGTCTCTTTTCACTTTCACACGAGAAAATTCGGATCGTCTGAAAAGTAGATCATTGTCTGAATTGGTTAATGAGACTCGTGTTTCGGTTTGTTGGGTCTGTGAGTCCGTGTGTCAAAGTATAAGTCTCTCTCTCTCTCTCTCTCTCTCTCTCTCTCTCTCTCTCTCTCTCTCTCTCTCTCTCTCTCTCTCTCTCTCTCTCTCTCTCTCTCTCTCTCTCTCTCTCTCTCTCTCTCTCTCTGCAGAGTTGCGCCACCAGCTCCCTCTCATCCCATTCTTCGATTGCTTAGGGCCTTTCTCTCTTTTCGACGCCCACGAAGCATTTTATCATGCATGAACTTGAATTTCGATGACATTCTTACGGATATTATCAAGAGGTCCTTGTATTCACCCATCACAATATTATCTGATTGAAGTTGTTCTATTGTAATCAAAATTAAACAGATGTGTCATGATTAACAATTCTGAAAGTATTCTGAAAATATTTTGCGCAGGATGCCCAAAAGTATAAATTGAAATATGTCCTGTCCAGATAATATTTATTTCATTGGCGTGAGTAGTATCACATTTGGCATGACGGTGTAAAGAATAAAACACTTACAGGTGTGCCATGCCACACAATTTTTAAAAATGTGTTTATAAAGTTTTACGTTTGATGACATTTAATTAATTGACAGGTTTATAGAGCTTTTATAGTGGCTTGATGAAGGGAGACTGGGGTCAATTGTAACACTTTCTACTTAACTTGTCATAATTGGATACCAGTCAGTCGGTACTAAACTGATGTTTCTTCCAATAAGATAAAAATAAAACCTTTTGATGAAATGGAAAATGTATGTTAAAGCACACTGCAATACACGTGT